CCTTGGACTTCAATTTATTTTTTAACTTTTTTTAAAAAAAGATTTTATTTATTTATTTGACAGATATCACAGGTAGGCAGAGAGGCAGGCAGAGAGAGAGGGGGAAGCAGGCTCCCCGCCAAGCAGAGGGCCCAATGCAGGACTCAATCCCAGGACCCTGAGATCATGACCTGAGCCGAAGGCAGAGGCTCAGCCTACTGAGCCACCCAGCCACCCCTAACTATTTTCTTTTTTAATGTATGCTTTATAATGTGCATGATTTGTTAGCTTAGAAGTACTGACTGTATGATATCTAAATCTGTCTGGCCCTGAATGCCTAAATGTTTTACTGATGGGGATGTTAGATTTTAAAAAGTGATGGTGCCTGGGTTAGAATTGTAGGCTGTGGAAAGGGGAGTACTGAGATGACATGTCAGATAAGTCAAGGCCTGGGGTTAGTCTTAGGAAGGCTGCAACAGTAATATCAAGTGGGAACTGTACATTTGGTAGGAAGCAAAGAAACATATTTCTAGGTTTAGGGTCAGTGAAGGCGTAAATTTATGGAATTAGATTCTGCCTACTATGTAGGCAGCTGTTTGATATTTTTATATTTGTGTTATTGGTTATAGTGTTTAAGTTTTCCTGGTCAAGTTTCCCTTTTTTGGCCGTGCTGTATAATTTCCTTATCTTCTCTACTGCATTCTAAGCCTAAACAGTACAGAGTAATAACGGTACTAATAGTGGTAATAATAAAAACATTTATTCAGTCAACATTTACTGATTAGGTACTAATTCTGGGGAAGAAATGGTAAGCAAAGATCAGAACTGAACACTGGATTCATGATGTTTATGTTCTTTAGGGGAGATAAACAATCAGCTAGTCCTCAAATTGGTGTAAAACTGTTGTCTGTGATAAGTGGTACAAAGGACAGTGCATGATGTCAAGCTTGTGAAGAAAGTGAACTATTCAGGGAGGGTCAGTAAGGCTTCCCTGAGGACAGGACCGGCTACAGAATGTGTAGGGTCCAGTGCAGAATGATGACACAAGGCCCCTTGTTCTAAAGAATTCCAAGACTAATGGCAGAATGTGAAACTGAGTGTGGAGCCCTTCTAAGCACTGGCCCTGTGCAGTTGCTCATGTAGCATGTCCAGGGATCCGGCCCAACATCTCAGCATGTTTGAGCTGAGACACTGCAGGGTGGGAGATAGCTCTAGGTCAGAGGATACAGCAGAAATGAATCTTTGGGGTAGGAAGGAACATGGTGCATCCAGAAACTGACTGAAGGCTAGTGTGACTGGAGTGTAGAAATAGGTGGAGTGGAGTTATGATGAGGCCAGAAGGCCAGAGAGGTAGAGAGGGAGAGGTATGAGGCCAAGTTGAGGAATCTGATCTTTTTTTTTTTAAGATTTTATTTATTTATTTGACAGAGATGACAAGTAGGCAGAGAGGCAGGCAGAGAGAGAAGAAAGCAGGCTCCCCGCTGAGCAGAGAACCTGACGTGGGTCTCGATCCCAGGACCGTGGTGGGATCATGACCTGAGCCGAAGGCAGAGGATTTAACCCACTGAGCTACCCGGGCGCCCCGAGGAATCTGATCTTTACTACAAGAGCCACGCCAACTGTTGATGTGTGGGAAGCATAAAATTTACTTTTTTTTTTTTTTAAAGATTTTTATTTATTTATTTGACAGATCACAAGTAGGCAGAGAGGCAGGCAGAGAGAGAGAGGAGGAAGCAGGCTCCCCACTGAGCAGAGAGCCCAATGCGGGGCTCGATCCCAGGACCCTGGGATCATGACCTGAGCCGAAGGCAGAGGCTTTAACTCACTGAGCCACCCAGATGCCCCTAAAATTTACTTTTGATGTGCTAATAATACCAGTATCTTGCACCTTGACAACATTGCACAGTGGTCTGTCTTGGTCCCCAATCCTACCAAACTTTCTTTACAGAAAATTTGAGTTTCACCTTCTATATGTATTCCAAGGCCAGTCTTTCCCAAAGGCAAGTTTAAAAAGGCACTTCATACTGTGAGTGTTTTTGGTGGTAGAAATTGAAAATAGCATAGGTGAGTCCTGAAATTTTATTCACTATTGAATTAGTTTATGGTCTAAAACATTTTAGGTCAATGGAAGTAAAACTAGCAAGGGATAAAAAATGTTTTATTATTGTTTAAGATGTTTCTTTTGAAATGCTACAGATTTTTAAGGTATGTTGTTAACACTGTAAGTTCTTAGTCTCCCTCTCTTTTTCACATGGCAGGAGAAAGGGGTGGATATTGACTTGCCTAACCTTGGGAAAGAGGAATAGGGAAGCACTTGGTTTTTGGACTTTGTCTTTCCCGTAATAGTGTTCTCAATAAAGAAAACTTCAGTTAATATTATCCAAACCAAGAAATAGAAATAGAAATGTTCTTTGTCATGTGTGGATAATAGTGTTCATGATTCATGGATTTACTTATGAAGGCAGTTAATAGAGTTCATTTCCTAGAAGGATACTTGCATGGTTGGTTTGTAGATCCATTGCCATGCCACACAACTTAGGATTTTCACTTTTGGCATTCTATTGAATAACAGTCTAGCTATTTCTTCTCCCATGTCATATTTAAAATGTAATTATTTGAGCTGGTTCATGTAGGGGATGCACTTAAATCAGTGATGTTTGTATACTTTGAGCTGCTCATGGGTGAGATAGGTAGTTGATCATTCTTTGCATACTCTACCATTTCTTGCCTCCTGGTCCATGGATACACTGGCATGCCATGCTGCTAAACTGATATATATATATATAGATATATCTGTATCTCTCTATATATATATTTGTATATACATACGTAGTTGTATCAACCCAGTTCCTTCTCTTTTTAAATGATAGGTTCTGTTTGTGAAGATAACCTCAGATGTTTTGGCAGAGTTACTTTTCGAGAATTTTATTTTTGACAGTAATTTCTGAGTTGAATATATTTTGTATTCTGGATCAAGGAAAACAGCCCCCTCCCACCTAGTTTCCATCTTTAGATTCTATTAATAACAGAAATTTTAGTATTTGTAGGCAACTTCTCTTTTTGTGATCAGGTAGTAGGTAGGTCTCAAGGTTTCTTTGTTTTCACATATGTCGTTGTAATGGGTCTGGAGAATCCATGGTGGTGATAATAAACTAACTTTTTCATGGAACACATAAATTGCTGCTCATATGAAACTGCGATATTGCTGAGTAGTAAAGTAACTTCTGATTAATCAGAATACTTAAATTATATTGAGCAGATGCTTAATGCTAAGTGTATGTTATTCACTGTTTTGAAAACTTGTAATCCATGTCTATCACATACAAAACCTAGCTAACCGAAGTTAAAATTACTACAATATTTAATTAGAACATCTCATTGCTTTAACAAAGTTAATAATACTAGGTTCAGTAAAACTTAGATTAGCCAGAATATTTAGGGAACAGAATGGTAGGTTTAATCAATTACCCCCGTCTTTCTTTCTACACACAATTAACATATGCAAAACATGCTACAGGGTAGCATACATAGATGGGACATATCTGTACCCTCAAGAAACTTAGTTTCAGTATCTTTGAAATTTTTGTTAATTTTATTCTTATGCTTTATTGTTTTAATTAGATTTAAATGCATATAATTGAATCTTTTAAAAATTAATTGAATCTTCAATGATGTAGGATTTTACAACAAATGAAACTCATTGTATTGTTTCTCATATAGATGTAAATGTTTATAGGTGTGCTGACCATACAGTTTAGCCTAAAAGGTTATTTTTTAGTAATTTGCTGATGTCAGCTTATTTTTGTTTCCTTGACTTTTATTTTAAAAAACTATGTTACACAGGTTAACTGGGTTCTTAGTAAAATTCTGCTTTGTTAAAAGTTTACAGTATCATATAATAAATATTTAGTTTTATTGCTTTTTTGGTATATGAGTTGAAACTCGGTAGTTTTTGTTTATATGTATAATATTATGAGCAATAGCGTATAAAACTATGTATGGTGCATTATTTGCTCGAGGTTTTCATGGTATCCCTAAGTACGAGTCTAATTTTGTGTAGCCCAAACCAAATGAAAAGTAGCATTTATAATTTACAATAATATGATTTTGTTCCTTTTCGTTCTGAAGTATGAGTTAAAGCAAATTAAAGGGGTCCTCCCCCGCACTCCCTGGACTGTTCAGTGCATCTCAACGAGAGGTTAAGTGTTATGGTCAAGCCTGGCTTCAGGCCTAAAATTAGTTTTACTAGCTTTATTTCACATTGTAGGTACTTACTGCTTCATCGTTCTCTTTGACTTTGTTTTTGTGTAGTGGTGGTGGTGGGTTCAAGGTAACAGAATGTTCTATAATACAACATGGTTCTCCTGTATGTTTAAATACTACCAGCTTATAAAGAAGGTTGCATAGCCTGAAAGAGATATATTTGATTCTTTCATATAGTGTTACTTGTTTGAAAGTTTACTTTGTTAAAGTTTATAGTAAAATACTGTTTCACTTTTTTTTGATAGTGAATCAAATTCAGTATCTCATTTTTTTAAAGATTGATTTATTTATTTAAGTAATCTCTGCACCAAAGTGGGGCTTGGACTCACAACCCTGAGATCAGGAGTCACATGCTCTCCTGACTGAACCAGCCAGGCACCCCCAAATTAAGTATCTTATAAGTAACATTTTGGAGTGCCTGTGTTTGGAGGATAAGGAATAGTAGCATATAGGCTGTTTTAGTTTTTAAATTTTCACTTTTGATTGGACAGGATGTCTTCCACCTCTTCTCTGTTGAAATTACAACAGCAGCACAACTCCCTACCAAATAATAAACCAAACATACATTTAAAAGAAGTTATCTAACCTACTTATACCATATACCATACAACCTAAGGTAGTGTGATTGGTTGCTCTATTTAAAGTAACCTTGGCAATTAACTTTAATTAAATTCTCTAGGCAAATCTTTGTGCTTATTAATTGGGTTATTGATACGTTTTTGCTTTATGTACTAATTATCACTGCCTTGTTTCCACAGCTGCAGAGCCTTGGCCTGAAAATGCTACCTTGTATCAGCAACTGAAAGGTAGATACTTGTTCACAATTAAAAACAGCTCATATAAAAAAAAATGGCTCATATAAAAATATATCTAGGGGTGCTTGGGTGGCTCAGTCCATTAAGCATCTGCCTTCAGCTCAGGTCATGGATCTCAGAGTCCTGATATGGAGCCCTGCATTAGGCTCCCTTGCTTAGTAGCGAGTTTGCTTGCTTCTCCCTCTCCCTCTGCGCCCCCACCCCTGCCTTGTGCTCTCTGTTGCAAATATATAAATAAAATCTTTTTAAAAAACAAAAATATTGTTACCAGAAAATCCACAACCCCTCAACATCATTTACTTCTGAGAGAACATAAAGAAGGGATTCTCTTGTGCAATTTGTCTAGGAGATTTTGCCTAAACTTGAATCTGCCAGTGTAAACCAACTATTCATGGCCTATAAGGTCCTTAGTTTATTATTGACTCATTATATTGGCTGCTGTAGGCAGTGTAAAATGATGTGGCTGCAGTAGCAGTTGGCAGATTTACTGCACCAGTAGCTGACACAGCAGATTTTTAAAGTCCTGTGGTAAAGTGGGCTCTCAGTGAAAAGGAACTGTTAAAATGTATAGGCTAGGATGGTTCAGGCTCCCTCTAGCAGCTCTTCATATATCATCAGATCACATTATGGACCCCATTTGGGGCTCAGCAGCCTGCTGCAGTTGTCAGAAGACTGCAAAGTAATGAAGACTAATAGGCAGCAGCCCTAGTCTTCTAAGCATGGAATTTTTATTGCAGCAAACTTGTCATCTTTCTTTTGTGTGACAGACCTAGACACATTGTGCAATATTAACTGCAAGCTGGTTTTATATGATTTTGAATGCTTTTAACTAGAGGGGTTTGAGCACATACCATTTTACTTAATTTTAATGAAAAGAAGAGGAATAGTATTTCTTGAAAAGTTGAAAAATGAATTTGTTTTTAAGTGAGTGATTTTAATTAAATATTGTTGATAAAATAAAAAAAAATGATCAAATAGTTTTAGAGGAAATAGTCTTTGTTATGTACATATTGTGATAATTTAATCAAAAATTATGATTACCCAATTGTATTGATATAGAACTTCATAGTTCCTGTGGTGAAATCTGTACCTTTTATTTTTAAAAATAGGAATAGTGTTTTAAAATAAAAATATTTACAAGTATATTTTGCTTATTTAGCAGTCTCACTTTTGACTCAGACTTTTCATTGTATTTCCACAGGGGAGCAAATTTTGCTTTCTGACAATGCAGCTTCTCTTGCTGTGCAGGTAAATATGCAAATAATGTAATAATTTTCACTTTGAGTTACAACTGTTTTTTTCTCTGGGCAGTCTGCGATGTTATATATTTATGATCTTTCTGTGTGATTTACCATTATCAATATAACATCTTTTCTGTGAAGTGTGATTTTATTATGTAATATTTTCAGTTATTGTCAGTATATAAAATAAAAGTCTTCATTCTTTTTTTAAAATCACTTAATATGCTAGATTATTCTCTTAATAGTTTAGCTTTTGGCTAGATATGATGGTATTGATTATTTGTGGTGATACGTTCATTTATGGACACAGTTATTATTTGTAAAGATTTATTTACCACATATTTTTAAGCATCATTCTTTCACTGTGCTCATTCTAGTCTAATCCATTTGTTAATCTTAAAGCAGATATTCTCTTCTCTAGCTGTTTCTTATATATTTATTGATTACATTAGCGTCTCTTATTCCCAAACCACTTATTAAATGCAATAAGCTCTTCATATTGTATATCATAGTTGTGTAATCCAAAGAACAGTTAGTGGTCCTGTAAACTTTAAACTGCACCACAGGAAGAATAGAATACTTGGGGATTATTTGCTTTAAAAACTAAAAAACACTGTATATTAACTAACTGGAATTGAATTAAAAACTTAAAAAAAAACAAAACAAAACAACAAAAAAAACAAAAACAAAGCCCTTACAGATAATGCTTACAGGGCTCTGTATAACCTTCACTGATTCTATTTCCCTCTCTCTTCTCTTTCATTATCCTGAATTTGCTTATCATATGATGGGACTACAGATAACTTACACATACAAAAAAAAGGAGAACAAAAATAACTTGTATTATAGATTGCTTTTTTAATTCGTGTAAATTTAACAAATTGTATATGTTGTTTGTTTTTTTGGTACTTGACTTTGTTTTTTATATTTGTCCATATTGATAGATATACCTCTGATTTACTCATTTTTATTGATAAGTGTTATCCCACTGTATGAATACACCACAATTTACTAAAGAAAAAGGGAGAGAAATGCCTATGGAGATTATAGAATTAAAGTTATTCAAACATTTGCATATGTAGCTGTTACTTATTTAGTTAGCTTACATAGTTTGAATCACAAAGAGGATTTTATTGTCTAGCACTGAAAGATAACTTAAAAGAGAAACTAAGACATGTGGCATTTTTGGAGATGGGATGATGAGCTTCTGGAGGACAGAAAGAAAGGTAAGAGAAAAGCCTGTGAGCTTTTGCTGTGTTCTAGGCATGATGGTAAGCACTTGGTCATCTCACATTTTTTATTCAACTTGATATTCTCTGCATTTGGTTACTATGTCTGATAGCATGTCACTTAGTATATTTTTACTTTCATTAAGGCAGGGAAAGAAGGAAAAGATGGAAAGAAGAAATGTGTTTGGATAATAATTTATTCATATGAGTATCTTTCTTTCTTTTGGATTTATTTTAAAGATTTTATTTACTTACTTATTTGTCAGAGAGAGAGCACAAGCAGGCAGAGGTAGAGGGAGAAGCAGGCTCCCCAGTGAGCAAAGAGCTGGATGTGGGACTTGATCCTAGGACCCTGGGATCATGACCTGAAAGCCGAAGATAGTGGCTTAACCGACTGAGCCAGTCAGGCATCCCGTCTTTAGGATTTATTTTAAATCTTTTTACCAAAAATGTAAATTACATATATTTTATTTATTTACCCTTGTTTTACCTTCATTTTTTAAAAGATTTTATTTATTTATTTATAAGGGAGTGAGAGGGAGAGCACAAAGGGAGAGGGAGAAGCAGTCTCTCACTGTGCAGAGAGCCTGACAGGGGATTTGATCTATCCTAGGACCCTAAGATCATGACCTGAGCTGAAGGCAGATGTTTAACCAGCTGAGCCACCCAGGCTCCCCCTGCTTATTTTATCTTTAGATACTACTATTACAACTTGTGTATTTTTTTCTTAACATTAACTTTTGAGAAGCAAAAATTCTCAGTTGATTTTATGTAATAAATGTGGACTTTATACTCTTATTAATCTTTTTTTTTTTTTGGTGAGGGTGAATTTAAATTTAGCTTTCAGATACTAATAACAAACTGCATAGCATATCAGGTGTACTAGGTAAATGTTTGTTGAGTGAAAGATTCATAAGTGTGGTAAAAGCAATTCCGCGTGATAACTGAACGTACAAGCAAATTATTTGCTGTGTATAAAATAGTATTTTTCAATGTTTATCTTTGAAAAAAATAACTTCATAGCACAGTGAATATGTTCATTGAAGCACTAATTCTTAACCCTTTTTAAATTGCCATTTTTGGGATAACTTTTTCAGGACCTCATGAAAACTATAAACCATTTCTCCAGAAAACATTCCAGTGCGCACACATGAAATAGACACATACCTTAGCTTTTCTGCATATGGTTTCAGGGGGTTTATGGATCTCCTTGCTGAAGCTGTTTGGGGATCCCCTGTGAAAAATTATTGAAGTCATTTTCACCAATTAAAAGGTATTTTGAGAAGGAATAGAGTGGTTCTTAACTGAAGGAGATTTCTACCCATCAGAAGACATTTGACAGTGTTTAGACATTTCTGGTTGTCATAACTGTTGGGGAGGGTGCTGTTGGCATCTACGGGGTAAAGGCCAGGGGTGCTGTTAAACAGCTTTCAGCGCACAGGATGGTTCCTCCACAACAAAGAATTACCCAGCCCCAAAGGTAAATAGTGTGAATGTTGAGAAGCCCTGGAATGAACTAGTTTTTAGTACAAACCAAGATATCAGTATGTTACCATTAAAATAATAATAATAATAATAATAATAATAATGTTTTAAGTAATCTGGGGAAGGGAAGAAAAAAGAAACCTTAGTATACACTTTATTTAGCAACTCTGTTTTTATGGTTCCTATTAATTTACTTTCTCTCCATGGCTTCTCAAAATATAGTTGTAATTAATAGTAAAACCAGAAAAAAAAGAGAACCTTTTAAAATGCAGAATTTGCTTAACCATTTCAATTTTTTGTTATCCTACATATGTCACTTAGATGATAAATTAACCAGCATATATTAAAAATTCTTAGTTTTCTTCAATATTCTTTGACTTGACAGCTGATAGTAGCCATGACTATAAATGTGACTTTTCTAGATATCTGATGTAAACTTTATGGAGTAATTTTCTTCTATATAGTGGACCAGTATCCGTTTAGAAGAATCAGTTAAATGTGTAAAATTGATCAAAACAATGTGACAGGTATCCATAAACTGGATATTTTCTAGAAGATACCAGATATCAGGCATCAGATATTTTAATAGTCTGCCAGTTAAGCCATCAGGAAATTTAAATTTTACCTAGAGCATAGACTTGGCATTTATTATAGTCCTGGAACTAAGTGGTTAGATCTTTTTTGATTAAAGGAACCCTTATGATTTCAGTTTAAAAGAAAATAAATTTTTTTCCCATGGCTGTTATTTCCTCTTAGGTTTGCTTTTTCCTCACCCACAAAGTACTGGTATTAACCAGCAGTGTTCGTCTGGTCATATAACAGTCCTGTATGTTGATTAGAGTGAGGTATTAGTGTAGCATGTTCCTCTGGTTCTCATGAGCAGTGTGTGTGTGCGCGTGTGTATAGTGGTCTGTACATACATGTATAAGCAGTCTTTGTGTATGTGTAATTGGGAAAAGAACTTTGTTAATCTCTGTTACTGAACAGGCAAATCCACAGAGAGAGAAAGTGTGTTAGTGGTTGCCAGTAGCTGAGGAGAGGTAGAAATAGGAAGTGAGAGGTATTGGGAATAATGTAATGGGTACAGGGTTTCTTTTTGAGGTGATGAATATGTTCTAAAATTAGACAATGGTGATAGTTGCACAATTTTATAAATATACTAAAAATTGAATTGGACACAAATAAAAGGATGAATTGTATGTTGTATAAGTTATTATATCTATAAATCAGTTATTTTTTTTTTTTAAGGATTTTATTTATTTATTTTACAGAGAGATCACAAGCAGGCAGAGAGGCAGGCAGAGAGAGAGAAGGAAGCAGGTTCCCTGCTGAGCAGAGAGCCCAATGTAGGGCTCGATCTTAGGACCCTGAGATCATGTCCTGAGCCGAAGGCAGAGGCTTAAACCCGCTGAGCCACCCAGGCGCCCCCAGTTATTCTTTTTAATTAAAAAAATAATAATTCTCTGTTACTACTCTCACCTCCTAAACCTGAACTATTGTCCAACAGATATATAATGTATATAATGTTGGCCACAGACATAGTTAAAATTTTTGGGGGCAGCTGGGTAGCTTAGTGGGTTAAGCTTCTGCCTTCAGCTCAGGTCATGATCTCAGGGTCCTGGGATCGAGCCCTGCATCAGGTTCTCTGCTCAGCCTGCTTCCCCCTCTCTGCCTGCTGCTCTGTTTACTTGTGATCTCTCTCTCTGTCAAATAAATACATAAAATTTAAAAAAATTTTTATAGTAGTCCTATTAAAAAATGTAAGAAGAAACCGATGAAATGAATTTTAATCATGTTTTATTTAACCCATTGTATCCAAATGTTATTTTACCATGTGATCAGTACAAAATTGATTAATGGGATGTTTTACGTTTTTTATATTAAGTTCAAAATATGTGTATTTTACACTTAGAGCACATCTTCATTTGTACTAGCTACGTCTCTGGCTCTCAGTAGCCACATGCAGCTACTTGTATTGAACAGCACATGTCTAGAAATATAGTATGAGCCAATACCTATGAACTCCTCTGCAGTTTTTCTGAGTAATGTCTTATTTTCTTTAAGAAGTTTATGACTTTACTGATTTGGTATATGCTGTCTTTTATAGCAGCTTCCACAAATGAAATGGGAGTTGGTCTCTTCCAAATATAGAATACCGTAAACATTACTCTTTGTTGTTCCTCTGTAAAATGGAGATATAAAGAAGCTATTTTATTGGATGTCATGAGGGTTGGATGTGTTAATATATATAAAGTACTTAGAAAAGTACTTGGCACAATGTAAATATGCAGTG